TACGCCGCTTTTGCCCCTTCAATGGCTCCCATCATAGGAGTCGCCACGCATCTAACATTCAACCTCAAGACGAATGACACTAAATCCAAACTTTTCCCAAGCTTGGAGAAAGGGGAAAAATCTTGTAATTTTTCCAACCACGCACATTTTTCTCCCTAGCTCGATTTTTGCTTACTCCGCCTAAAACCACTGGTGACTCCGTCAGGCCCCTTCCCCGATGATTTCAGATGAGAGCACTTAGCCTACAGCAAAACCCGGTGAACATTTCCTCAAAAACTACGAAACTTCTGAGAGGTCCGGACGTGAGCATGGCGTGACGGATGCCGCTCACCACTGACAAACCTTCTGAGAAGTCCGGATGTGAGCATGGCGTGACGGATGCCGCTCACCGCTGACAAACCTTCTGAGAGGTCCGGGCGTGAGCATGGCGTGACGGATGCCGCTCACCACTGACAAACCTTCTGGGAGGTCCGGGCGTGAGCATGGCGTGACGGATGCCGCTCACCACTGACAAACCTTCTGAGAGGTCCGGATGTGAGCATGGCGTGACGGATGCCGCCCACCACTGACAAACCTTCTGAGAGGTCCGGGCGTGAGCATGGCGTGACGGATGCCGCTCACCACTGACAAACCTTCTGAGAGGTCCGGACGCGAGCATGGCGTGACGGATGCCGCTCATCACTGACAAACCTTCTGAGAGGTCCGGACGTGAGCGTGGCATGACGGATGTCGCTCACCACTGACAAACCTTCTGAGAGGTCCGGACGCGAGCATGGCGTGACGGATGCCGCCCACCACTGACAAACCTTCTGAGAGGTCCGGACGCGAGCATGGCGTGACGGATGCCGCTCATCACTGACAAACCTTCTGAGAGGTCCGGACGCGAGCATGGCGGATGCCGCTCACCGCTGACAAACCTTCTGAGGTCCGGACGCGAGCATGGCGTGACGGATGCCGCCCACCACTGACAAACCTTCTGAGAGGTCCGGACGCGAGCATGGCGTGACGGATGCCGCTCCATCACTGACAAACCTTATGAGGGGTCCGGACGTGAGCACGTGAGCTCGTGACGGATGCCGCCCACCACTGACAAACCTTCTGAGAGGTCCGGACGCGAGCATGGCGTGACGGATGCCGCTCACCACTGATCGCACCGCGATTCATATATCTTAATCAAGGACACTAATCAGTATACATTCATGTGAGTGATCACAAAACTATTATTCCACCGCAGTGACTTGCGAAGGATTTCCGATAAGGGGGAGGGGGGGGGGGGCAAAATTAAAGAATTTTCACTGAAAATGTAGTTAGGTGCGCCTCAAGCAGCCGCACCGTCAACCGTCAACCGTCAACTTCATGAGACGTAAAACAGCATTGCATGTTCTTGATCTTCTTTTTACTTTGAATCTGCCTCGAATTTTGAATTGTCAACAATAAATCACTTGCATATTAGTACAGCCAATAAATTTGATTAGGGGTGGGGCGGGCTCCCGAGGGCTGCCACGAGAGCGTCCGCTTCTGCTTCGCCATGGCCATTGAAGTCTGGCACCTAATACTGCGTCTACTTCGTATAAGTCCAGCCCATCAGGTGTCTGTTCCTGGGCGCTGTCACTAGGGCAAACTACTTAACAATGCCCAGAAAAATTAATTTAGATGGCAATGAACACATCTTTTGGGGCCCATGGATTCCATCTCATGGTCCCCCCCCCCCCCTCTCTCCGTACAGTGTCCGGCCCTTCCGTGCCAAGGAACACCTGATGATCTCGAGCCCTTGATCTTCAGTGGCCCTCTCGCAACCGCGTCTTCCTGGACGTTCTTAGAACCACTAAAACCTATTGTACTTCTTTGCCACCTCTGGTCTCTCAGACCGTCCCGACAACCGCTGGGGATCTCGAGGAATGCATTTATATATATATATATATATATATATATATATATATATATATATATATAAAGGGCCCACAAAATGTCTCGAGACAATCAGGGTTAAGGTAACAGAAAACAGCCCGTTGATGGATGTGTTTCTTCACTCCTGCTGAGGGTCCGGTGACTTCCAGTGGCCCCCGAGACGGGCACTGGTTCTGACGGGGACAAGATGTTGCGCGCAAGTTGGGGATTCAGCCATTCAGACGGCTCCGAATTCCCAGGGAGCTCGGAGACCGCGATATGGACTGTCATATTCATATTCAGATAATTCATTATATAGGAAAGTCGTTTTCATGACAAATGACCCTGGGCAGCCAAAGAATGCCAAGGGACTGCGCATGTCATAGTTTGGAGGCGGTCAGACGGTCGCATCGGCCGGTGCAGTCTTTTTGTCTTGCCTTTGTCTTTGGGGCTACTCCTTGGTTTGCATGACGTGTCTAAGTTTTCAAAACCTTCCGACGTAGTTAAAGGGAGCATTGTTGAGGCCGGACTCATTTAAACGCACCAATTACGTTAAAGTCAGACGAACGCGATGGCACGTAAAACGATTGCAGCGAGCTTGGGCCCGAGACACAATTTGACATGTTTATTGAAAGTCGCAACCATTTTAATCGGCCCTACTAAAAACAGAGTTTTTTTTCAACCACACATGTCGCATGGAGAAGTGAGCACAGTTACGCATCATGACAGCCGTCACAAACAAGGGCGGCGCAAATTATCTAGGTAGTTGACGCGCCCTTAAAGCTCAACAGCTAACAAAAAGGGCAAAACAGATTCGTTACGATAAAAAGTGTATATGCTGGGCAAGACCAGGGTAGCAGGATAAACATATAAGCGCTTAGCAATGCTGCACGAATTCAGTGGAACCCAGCTAACCGCATCCTTAAACGCATCCCAGCCTGCTGCTGTGCTGGGTGCAGGATGCGCGTATACTGCTACCACATGGATTTTGGGCATCCCAATGTAAATAGAAGCATTTCCTTGATGCTCGCCAGTGTCAGGAGCCACCAAGACTGATTGACCTCTTGCGACCCGATCGACTCCTCCCTCCCCAGCGTCACCCATCCCTCCCGGCGTCATGGGGGTTCGTCGTCGCGGCAACCAAGGGAACCCCTTCGGACGGGCCCAGCGGGCGACCCCTGCCCCCGCGCTCCGACCGCGAAATTCCCAGCTTAACAAAGGCACGGCTATTGACCTCCAGACGATCAGCGCTGGCGACCCCCTGACCTGACCCCCAACGCACCGGACCCCGCTGACCTGACCCCCAACGCACACCGGATGTGGCAGCGCCTTCCACCGCGCTCTTCAAACACAGATGGCGATCGTGCGAAGATGTTGTATTGGACTGAGCACAGGCGGCGGAATACACGCTCGCGCTGACCAGCTAAGCGGCGGACTCGGTGAAGATGAACGTGAAAGGGAAGTGAACACAATGGTACAGCACGTGATAATTAAAAATCCCATAAAAGGCGGCGTGGAACGCTTATCTGTGGCTGCTGCTGGTTTCTAAACTACACGTGTAAAGTACTATGACGGTTCATTCCATCGCAACTATCAAGCATCACCTTGACGAGTCGTTTCCAGTTCGCGACTATTGTTGATGGCTAGGCACGGCTTAGCAGTCGCATTTCGCGACCCGAACACCACCACGCATTCGGACTGAAGCGCTACAACAGCGTCACCTGGCGGACTGACGGTGCTGCCACCTGGCCGGCTCAAAAGGGGCCGAGCGCGCGACGGCAGCGGTCGGCGCGGCGCGCGACGGCGGCGGATCCAGCGCGCTTGGCGCGGCGCGAGCCCGGCGGCGGCGTGATGATAGCGTGCGAGCCCGCCTCCTCACCGTCCGGCGTGCTGCAGAACGCAGGCAGAGCCATCTAAGGACAGCGAGAGCCGCCGTCAAGCGGACAGCCTGTCGCTGCCCGGCGCCGGGCTGATACCGTCCGATGCGCGGTGGGAGGGGGGGGGGGGGGGGGACGGGCGGTAAATGCCGTCACGGGACGCATCTCCATGAGCAGATTTCTGCGCTTATTAGACGAAAATTATGTTGCTATTGAGGTAAAAATGGCATGCGTATTGCCAATGTTGCTTACGCGCCAGTCATCTGACTGCCGGTCAAAATACATTATTGTTGGGCGTAAGGGCCGACTGACAGACGGGCCAACAGCACCGGTACACACCGGGGTATCTCAAGTCTTGGATGAGCCTAAAGAACGCCTCAAAACATTATTGACAGAAAACAGCTATGATGCTGCGGTCTGAGGTTTCATTCACACCGATTTCATGGTTCCTCTTTTGTGACACCTCGCCACCAGCGCGTCGCCAAGCGGAAGTGGGCCAGGACGGAACCCACAGGGGTTTTAACGTCTTGCACGCAACAGCAGCGATCGCACTGTTTCAACGGATTGCTCATCCAGGTTTTCGGCCACCACCTCTTCGCCATCTACCGCGGTGAGGTATGCGTCGTTTCAAATGCAGGAGGTCACGCGCCATACGCCGCATTTATTGCATGATTACTGGGGCCCAAGCCTAGTTATATTGGAGCAGTCTGCAAATGTCAGAGGCAGTATCGTTCTCCAAACTGCATACCGGACGAAACATTGTAACGGAAAGAAACTGAGCCACCGGCCCGTTTGATTTCAAAGGGACATTTCAGTATGACTGCGACGGATAGTCATGCATATGCACGCAGACACCGGGAGACAGGCGCCAGACAGCGATGGTCGTTAAAATGACAGACGGGCCGGCAGGCTGTCAGACGGACGGGTGCGGCCGGCGGCGCTGGGCGCGGGGGCGGAGCTCACACGCGGTGAGAACGGTGAGGGGCGAGTCGACACTGGCAGGCAAACTGATTGGGGCGGCCTCCCAGACATAGCTGAAGATTTGTGTTTGGTTATCCGCAGTGGGATCCCTGTCATGCACGAGGACAGCGACAAACAGATCGGCAGGCAGGCTGCGGCGGTGCGAACGACCGCGGAGGGACAGACGGACAAACGGGCGGAGAGACGGACCGCCAGACGGCGAGACGAGCACAGCTCACTCCGGCGAGGGTGCGCTCACCTCCGGTGAAAGCGGCGAGAGGTGCGACGGCGGAGGGGCCGGACGCCGCCGGCTCGTCCAGCTCCCAGTCGGACCTGCGACAGCGCCCGAGCCGTCAGCACAGCTCCGCGCAGCGCCGGGGCAGCTGAGACCGGTCCGCTCCGCGCGGCCGGGCCGATCTGCCCTGCCGCCGGTCAGCGGCGCGGACACGGCGGAGTCTCACGCGGTCCGGCACACGACACGTGTGACCGTCGGGTCTGCCGACCAGGGCGTCTGCTTCATGATCGAATCTGCGATGAGTCGGCTTGTTCCTGCGGTCGCGGTGGGTACCGCCGAGGACCCAGGCCTGCCTCAGTGCGTCGGCGAGGTCGTTCTTGCCCCTGCACGGCGTTGGGCCGCGGCTACTAACCTCAGTATCTTGGTGAAGTGGTCCAAGTGAGCAGGCACGGAGAGCGACAGCGCTGTCTGCTCCAGCTGCTGCCAGGCCAGGCTCGGCCCGGCCGGCTCCAGCATGTAGTCGCTCCACACGTTCGACACCTGCCGCACGGCACGGCCTCACTGTCAGACGCGGCCGCACGTGACTGGCGGCCGCTCCGGAGACGCCACAGCCGGCCTCCCAGCAGAGATACGACGGCGCCGGCCGTGCAGACCAGGCACGACACCCTCTGCCCTCCACACCGGGACCTACAGACCTTCATGAGACCGACCTCCACACCGAACCCACCTCCAGACTGCTGGGCAGGTCCAGGTTGATGTTCTCCTCGGCGTCCGGCAGTGCCCGCGCCACATCTTCCACGGCACCGACGGCGGCCCCGGCGTCGCCAGCAGCGTTGACCGCGTCCGGCCCGGCCGTGGCACCGTCTGCCGTCGTAGCCGCCGTCGCGGGCGGCGGCGGCGGCGGCGGCGGCTGCGCTGTCTCCGGCGTCGTAGGCGTCGTGCAGAAGGCGCGCCAGCTCCGCCAGGTCGGGGGTGGTGAGCGGCGCGGCGCCGACAGGGCCGGCCGGCTCGGTCAGCTCGGCCAGCTCCGCCAGCGCAGCCGGCTCGGCCGGCGACACCGTCGCCGCCGCCGTCGCCGCCGCCTCCAGAGGGTAGAGGCCCAGGAACAGCGCCTTGTACTGGTCCACGGTCAGCCTCGGCGGCGTCGGCACACCGTCAAACAGCGACTGGATCACTGGTGGACAAGGGACGCGCGCTGAGCACCACTGCCGCCGTCTGCACCCGTGCTGCAGGCGAAGGGCAACCCCCCTCGGCATGCCAGCCGATGTCGTGCCGCCCTCGGTCAGGCATGTGTGATACCGCACGATAAACATGCAGTTGCGACCGAGTTGTGCGCTTTGACAGACTGCTTGTTGCCGGTGAACAAACCCTCCCTGTCTTATCGTTAATTGTCGGGCACGGAGCACGATAACTGTGACAGTTTAGGCAAGCACAGGCCCAAAGACAAGCAAGGGTTCGATGTTCAAACCCTCCAGCTTGAGCAACGTGCCACATGACTTCCGGACCAGCATTTGAGTGGAAAACGCCCAATGAAAAGGTCCAAGGAATAAAAACCTACAGGAATAAACGTTGAAACGGGAAAAGTGAACGGAAAAGTCGAAAAGGATAAAAATTGAATCGGAGAAAAGGCGAGACAAAATGTCGAATGAGATGTAAGTCATCATGGATAAAAGTCTAACAGGACAAAAGCCGAAAGAGAGGAAGTCGACGAGGGTAAGAGTAGAAACGGACTAAGTCAATCAGCATATCGATAGGGTCAACCCGGATATGTAAAAACACCAGCAGTAAAATATTCAAAACAAAAATCGCCAGGGTTTGACGCCTGACATGACAGGTGAATAAAGCTGTGGCTACGGGAAGACAGGTGGGATTGGATGGGACGGGACGGGAACGAGCGAGACCGCACGGGGCCAGATCACACCAGAGGGGACCAGGCCGGAACAGACGAAATGGGACCAGATCAGACGGAACCGGACGAGACCAACTGGGACCAGATGGGACGGGACCGAGCCGGACGGCGCCAGACGGGACCACGCGTGACCGGATGCGATCAGATGGTGCGGACCGTCACCGGACGTCGCCGAAAAGGAGCCGTGTGGCACGGATGACGGGTCCAGATGGGACCAAACCGAATCAGACGAAACTAGACAAAACCGAACGGGACCGGACGAAGTCAGATGAGACTGGACGAAGTATGTTGCTGACGGGGCAGAATAAGGCCAATTTTAGGGAAGCCTTCGGGAAAGCCCGCTACCTAAGGGTCTTTATACGACTGCAAAGAAAAGGTCTCAGCTGTTTCTCAAAACCACCTGGCTCTCGTTGGCTGCATGGCGGCGCGCGGCTTTAACATTCCGGCGTTTACGTCGGTGGGAGAGAGAGGAGCAAGGTACGCAGGAATTTCCTCAGGGAGCGGTCTCCAAGCCCTTGCCCCCAACTGCATAGAAACTACGCTCCTGTTTTCGAAATTATGACTTCAGAGTTCCTGTACAGAGTCATCGACCTTCAAAACACCAGTCGACGAGTCATCGACCTTCAAAACACCACGAGGTACGGCTTAAGAACGCCACGGGGCAAACATGCATTACATTGTTAGTGATACCGCTGTTTCAATAGGTGCTTATGATGAGGAGAGTGTCATCATAAGCACTCACGAGTGTCTCGTGGACTTTCCGCCGGCTTTTGTCCAGCTAGACTTTTCCTCTTTGACGTTTCTACTTCGACATTCCTATATATTTGAATCCCTTCCGACTTCAAGTCCCTGAAGTTTTTCCAATTCGACTTTAAACCCTGTCAGCTTTTTGTCTTCTTACTTTTTTCTGATTCGATGTTTTTCCCTGTGGACTTTAATCGCTTGGAGCCATCCAGCATAACGCCTCCACTAACCCCGTAATGTACAGAGCCAACAGCACCGACGGTGATCGCTGATCCCGACCGGACAACTTGGTCTCGCCAAACCTCCCCAGGCTTTTACGGCAGCTGATACCTTCCAGCATGGCTGGCTTGGCATTCTTTGCTTATGCTAGCATTTGGTAGTCTCAATGTCTATTCTAAAATGCTGGCGCCCTGTTCAGCCTTTTCGCCTGTTTTGCACCTAATGTAATTAACCTTATGTCAAACCGCTGCCACAGGAACCGACGGCGCTGTAAACGCTGCAGGAATCAAGCAGTCGAACATCTTGAGCCGGAAACCTGAACTGAAATCGGCCCGCAAGCGCGAGCGGGTTGCACTGCTCGGAGTCCGGATCAAAATCACCACCATCCACCGCGAGTCTGAATCGGACCCGTCTTCACCGGAGCCGAGTCACCCACAAGCCCGATCCAGGAGCAGGCCAAGGGTCCTGGAGATGGTCTGGAGACTGCGAGACGATCAGACCCATTCCCCGACTTAGATATGCTCGAAAAGTCCCCACGGTGGCCCGGGGGTCGTCCCAGCGAGACCATCTAAATTGTAGTGGGAGCGGCAATCGGCACTGGAGTTGACAATCCGACACGAGTGATGTGAGCTGAAGCTATAAATGTCCAACCAAAATCGTTTCTTGCGCCCACTGGTGACAAATAAATCGGTTCAGCCGGCACATTTTCAATTCAACTATTTTTGTACCCCACAGAATGACCTTGACCTGACTTGACCTGATCTTGGTCATGGGTCTTGCTGACATCATGGTGTGATGTCTGAACTCCAATGACGTTATTTCGTGCACTGCTATTTTTAAAATTGCACAACTATTTATGTGGGTACTAGGGAACGCTGAAATGCTTAAAATATTCCTTCTGCCTTTAGGATATTCCCCCTGACATGTGACGTCACCAGTCGTGTGGCATTTGCTTGCTTGACGCCTCTGGGGACTGACGACTGACCAGTGCCATCGATTGCCGTCTGAACCTTTCCGACCCAACTATGAAATCCTGATATACCAGTGAGGGTGCCTCTGACCTCTCCCAGGCGGCTGTCGATGGCGAAACACCCCAGGCGGTGACGGACCAGCGGCCACCAAAAAGCCTGGGCGCGTCTGTGCTTGTCAACATAATGCGCTTCAGCTCCGGGATGCCAGTGCTGGTCGGGCCCACCTGAGTTCTTCATATCGAGCAGCATGGCCAGCGCCTGCTCTAGCTCCAGCAGGTGCTGGCGCGTCGCCTCCAGCACGCGCGGCTTAGGCGCCCGGGAGAGGGTCGGCTGGCGCGACTGCAGCACGGGTCGCAGCAGTGTGTAGCACGCCTGGGCGGGATCGGATGCAGGGACAGGTCAGAGGCTGGCGTGGTAGCCGTGAGAGGCGGACACAGGGATGAGTCTGAGACGGACACAAGGACTGGTCAGAGGCTGGCGTGGTAGCCGCCAGACAGAGGCGAAGACAGGGACAGGCCTGAGGATGGTGTGGTAGCCGTTAGAGGCGGACACAGGGATGAGTCAGGGACCGACACAGAGACAGGTCAGAGGCAGGAGGATTGACCGGCCAGACGCCCGCAAGAGGCTGAGCGAGACAGGGCGCGTGTTAAGTGGAGATGTCTTGCTTGCTGTCGATCTATTCGAACTTCACTTTTCACCGTTGCCAACACCTGCGACCGACAAACCACCTACAATGGGTGACCATCTGAGCGTAACGCGGTCGGAATTCCCAGCGACGTAACCGGACGTACGAGCTTCAACAGACTTGGAGCCAATTCCACGGGTTCGGTAATTTAACCACCACCACAGGTGTTGTAGCCAAGCACGGGGATAGGATCCGAGGTCCGGATCGGTCCGGATCCGATCCGGCTGCCGCCTGGTCGGGTCCGGACCGCCGCGGGCGCAGCGTCGGCACCTGTCACCAACGGGCTTACCTGCAGACTGGCGCGCCACCTGGCGTCGGAGGAGCTCTTGCCCGCCGGTCCGGCGCGGCGCCGCTGCTGCAGCGTGCCGCCCGGCCTGCCGCCCCGCGGCGACTGCGAGGAGCTGCGGCGCACGTGAAACCAGTCACTCCGCGCCCCGCCGGCCAGTGACGCACAGCTGCGGCTGGTACATAGCCGGCCTTTCATGGAGGTACCCAGTCGCTGATTCTACCTAGTATATTCAATGGCCTGAGAGTACCGTCGTCGCTTCGGAAGAGTGGAGGAGAGAGGCGGTGAGCGGTCCGAGGGCGTTGTACCCTCCTCCCCATCGTCGGCAGTGAAGATCGCGCTGCGGATCCTAGCGTTCCTACTGTTCGAAAGCTTCCCCACCCGTGCCATACGCTGCTCCTTCGCAGTCCGCCCAGCAATACTCCGATAAAAATCGGCGATTATTTTCGGACTAGACCACGCGCGTAAGCTGTGACATATGTCTGATCCGATGTTTCAGGCCTTTGCTGTGCAAAGGCTTGGACATTGAGGACGTACAAATGCGGTCCCAACAGCAAAAATTTGGGAGAGGCAATGTACATGTGGAAAAGCGAATACAAGTGGACGCATCCAGTTCTCAGGGTACGGTCAAATGTGACCGATTTTTTATCTCTTTTAATGATTTGGCAGATTAGCACACTCGCTTTTATGCGGTTGAAAACTGACCTAGATATTAAAGATCGACCCCCACCAAAATCGGCAAGGTAATCATCGATCCCACTTGTTTAATCATAGCACTGACGCTCCTAAATCACTTCACTCCACTCTGCCGTGTGCGTTTGGTTTAGCGGCCCTTCACGCGCGCCCCCCGTCCGTACCGAAGGTGCTCCTGGATCACACCCTTTCCGTTTTCCAGCGTTTATGTGCCAGGCCAGTCGTAAGCATGCAGACTGTCCATGCCTCTCGGCGCTTTCAGGAAAGTAGAGGCGCGGCAGGAGGGCATGGAATTCGTCTGGGAAGGGCAGGTGACGGACGTCCTCCAC